AAGTGGTGACCAACATAATAAAACGCATCCCGTAATTGAAGGGTTTGCCAATAGCAGACGGCTCCATTTATATCAGTTTTTTTCTATATCATATTTGTCCAACATAGAAGTACGCACGGTTTCGATGAAAAAAGTGTCTAATGTCTATCCTCAATACCCACAGGCTTTAAGAATATGTTTTGAACGCGCGAAATATATAACTAGCTTGGTCATAATAATACAATAATTGTCAAATGATTGCGCATTCTTCACATTTGTACTATGCCCGCGGCAAACGACCCGAACACGTCATCAAGAACTCTCGGTTTATTCCCAGACGATACTGGAAAAGTATTTTATTTACCTAACTAGTAACGTTATCCGTCAATTCGGCCAAGCACAAGCGGTTCGGTTATTGCAAAATAAAACCTAGTAAAACCGGTTCACGTGTATTTTATACCTATTGGCTGCAACAGTTGTAGTCCTACGATGTGCCATTGCCAGCCGATGCCACTCCGAGGTTTTTGAACCTCAGTCATAAATGCACAATGTCATGCGGTGTATGCAACACTACCAATATTGAAACAGCTATTAATTAAAAACAATCTTGATTAACAAACATAAAAAATAACCCAGGAAAGTAGAATGTGTACATCAAAGTATGACAGAAGCACAATTCTTGACGTGGGCTGTCAATGAGTTGTAGGAAGTATTACGTTTAAAAATTATAAAATCACTTTCAAAAAAATCACTTAACGCTATTGTTAATAGACAGTTAGAAGTTCTGTAAAACCTGTAGAAGGGGAACAAAACCGTACAGTGCGTAAAGTGTCAATAAGAATCTGTATTGCGTTGAATATCGTGTTTTTGTGTTATTTTAGTAGTTTGAATGGATTTTAGGTTCCATTCTTGATTTTTTAATGTAATTGATAGGCGCATATTATCTAGACGTAACGAACAACTTAAATACAATTATTTGTAACTGTGTTTTACGTATGATCGCCTAATTTGATGGAGAAAAAGTGGACTTTCCTACTTCCAGACTAACGACAACATCAATGATCATATTTACAACTTACTATCGATGTATTGGAATATCAGTGCTACGGTTAAAAAATTATGAGAGAAAAGAATACCGGCATTGTAATACCTTCAGAGCCCCTCGTATCGAAATTTCTTAAGTGTCGGCGATGAGAGTACAAAAGTTAGTACCTTTCGCCCGCGGTCTAACTAATATTAAGCACAACGTTGCACGCCCATAATACTTCTATAATGTATAATATATATATATATATATATATATATAGTATAATACTTATATATATGTACACAATTATTTATTAAATAATTGTACTCTGTATGGATAGGTATAAGATATTGTTTTGCTCGAAATGCATTGGCAGACGCTATAGGTACGCGCACGCACGCACACTGGCGACAGCTTTAAATAGGAAAGGACCTTGCCGCCAAGTTCCTTATTGGTTTACTTCCTGTACAAACGAAACCTACCTGTGGCGTGTCAGCAATGAAATTGAATATAAAAGAAACCAATCGAAAATTTCATCGCAGGACTTTTATCTACTATCCGAGCCAGTTTGGAGTTACGGTTTTAAATTTAAATACACGCAATACATATATTATCGCATTCCAACAACCTAATTGATCGTTTTCAGTAAAGATTTGGTTTTGACTTTATTTTTATGTAACACTTGTTGGAGTTATCATTGTTGACGTTTTGTAAAGGATAATAATATATAATATTATGTGTATTATTATTATTATATAGTAGGTACACCCATACAGGGTACGACCTATGGTCTATGGAATACACGGGTGTAACTTATAAGGCAATGTGTGGTTTTACGTAAGTACGATAATCGCCGACATATCGCTTGTAGCATCAGAGGGTACCAAACCTCGTTATACGTTAAAATAATAATATTATTATCATCGTGGAACAAACGTCTAGATTGACATTTTTAATCGACGGGCGCGATAAACGTTCATAATATTATGTGTGTCATTTGAAATGAACGACAACAACGTACAATAATAAACTTTATTATTTTAACGTAACACTAAAGACTTCACTTCAGTTCCGGCGCTTTAAGGCATTATATTCTACTCTAGTTCGGTCAGCTTTCGATTAAGGCTTAGCGATACTTAATGTGAAATTCAAATCTATTATGTGAAAAAAAAATACTGAACAGCTTCTTTCTAGGTACGCTGGATTTTTACTGGAGTCCATTGAGAATAGACGGAATAATGTTTGCATTTATTTTATCGTCAGATTTATGTGTGGCAATGAAATGAAAATATAAAGCTCAAAAATACTGTGAAAAACTAAAGCCTGGAGTTGATTGGAGAACGGCTGCAATGAACGAAGAGAAGTGGAGAGACTTATGTTTGTTGGTATGGTCACAAATGGCTGTTTACCACGAAGAAGTAGAAGAAGAAAAATAATATTATTATTAAATAAAATATGATCGCAAAATCTGCCCGTTGGATAGCATAATTTCGGACAGCTACCAAACGGGGCACCTAACAACATCGTATACACTATACCATATACACGGTCACTGAGGCACGTGTCAAGAAACGCGGTAGCGACTATCTAAGCAGCTGATGGCCGTTATGCGTGTACGAATTGCATAGCTGTTCGCTGCGAGCACCATTCAAATTTCGGCTAATATATTTTTTATAATAATGAAAAATTATTTCAAGGCCGAACAACACGCTGTCCGGGTACTCGTTTGAGACAATACCAATAAAATATAGTAATATTACAATAACGTTATTTCATCTTATCATAATATCAGAATCTATAATTCAGTAATTTGCGCAAGTGTCGTTTGGTAATCGCGTTAAAGGTTGCGGCGTCCGAGAGAAAACAGTTTCTGTCAAATTGGTCTGTATTGCCAATATTATTCATCAGTCGTCATCATCATATACAGGTAAAACAACCGTTTTCCGCAAACCTTGTATGGAAAAGTGTTTAGATATCTTGTCAATATAGGTATCGAGGTAAGTATAGGTATCTGCAATACCCGTGCATCGAGATACATTTTTTATTGATCTCGCCAATGCTTGTGTGTGTGTATATAAACTGAGAAATGTGAAAGGTGAAAGAAGGTCTGCCGCGTATACGGTCTGCGAATATTATTAAGCGGTACAAAAACAAAATGGTTTTTATGTTATTTTAGATGAAAATATATCATACGATTATTTTCGAAAGTTGCGAAAATTTTAATCGAACCTGAACGCGAGTTGAGCCTAAACAGCTATGATAATAGGTGTCATACACACATAAGTCAGTGTCACAGTAATTAACAACAACGCGATGTACGAAATACCGTAGGATTAAATATTTTTAGATATATTACCACAGTGTACAAGCACAAACTGTATAATATTAGTTTTGAATTTTTAAACAGATACGCCGTACGACAAGTGAATACATAAAATTTAAAAATATCGTAACATTCGACGATAGTTACTTGTTAAATACAACCCAATCGCCTTGAAGCTCTATATATGATTTTTTTTTTTGTGTGTGTGTATGTAATTAGCATGATTTTGTCTTCCTCGTGTAGGGAACTTGGAAACTGTACTAAAATCTCGAGTCGTTCGCACGCCTCGGTATTTATATGGGTTGGTCTGGAAAATATAGTAATATATGTATATATATTATGTTATAATATGATAAAACACAATAGCGGTAGGTACGATTTTGGTAGCCGAACAAATAAATGTGAACATTGTACATTAGTCGGTAAACATTTTATGAGTAAGTACTATTTGCATTTAAACGTTTACCACGTGTCTTTTTACCCGTAGTAAGTTTCTTTTCATTCAGGTGTTGTGTTTTTAAACGTTAAGATATTTCATAAATTATACACGCGTTTAGTGTTTACGTTAAAAGTTGAGAGTTTGTCATTTTGTGATTGTAACCACTTAATACCAACAAACCAGTGACATTTTCAATATTTCATAGAGGGCTAGCATAATGAAGTTGGAATGTAAAAAGAAGAAAATAAACTGTATGCCTTTACATAGCATGTATTGAATGTTCTAAGAATAAAAGGTCAAAGTTCAACCTTTTAGAAATCTTGTCAAAAGTTAAAAGCCATTATCTTACAACTAGTAATAAAACGAAAATTAACGAAATCGTCGAGATCCGATTTGAGAAACATACATACATAAATCACTTTTTTCTTTTTTAATATACGGCATAACCAGCAAACTTAAACTGAAAAATTGATTTAAATTGTTGTGATTTAATGTCACATTTACCTGTCTTTCGTAGCCCTTGCAAAATGCCGGTTATTTTTAAAACAGGCCTTGGCCCACTTAAGCCTGTCCCTCGCAAATAAGTTTAAAAGGTCAAAAAAGTTGGATCAAAATAATTTTAAATCAGGGCCGTACTAAACATGAGGTGACATAAATTGAGCAATAAATCTGCGCACATTTAGGGAGCGTCAAATAAAATATGAGCTTACAATGTATATTGATTGCATTAAACAATTTCAACATTTAAAAACTAAAAAAAATTATCTTCTAAAAAATTGTCATTATTTAGTCTCGTCATAATTTTCGTATTCATCTAAACTATATACAAAAGACGCCACCAAAGGGTTGTCTACTTAATTAATGACTGAGGGGTGGCAAACATTGGTTGTCTATTGGGTACTTTAAATAATTATTACAGCGATGGTTGGAACAGTTTTTACACACTATGGTATACACATCCTAAATTGAAAAAAAATTAGACTCGAAAAAGTTAGGTCTGTTAAGCTCAATTGGCTCATTTCGACCGTAGTAGACAGTAAAAATATATTGATTTGGCCAATTGCTTAAGACTTTTTCGGCAATTAAAAGCAACGTCGACGCGGAGAACTCTATTATTTTTTTATTTGCAAAAATACCTAAGAAAATAATACTTTGAAAAAGGACAACACACAAATTTACTGATCGCCTAAACGCTTTGAAGCCGAACGTGCGCAAAATGTTACGTTACGAACCTTGTTGAGTTCGAGTCCACCGGGCGTGGACGATAATGAATATCATGCGAGCTGTACCGATTTATCCATAGGGCATATCCATAATCCAAGCAGAGTGTAAAATGTCAACGGAAATATCGCGACGAGCTAGTAGATATATAAAAACTTAGTGCAAACACTTACACGGGGAGTCCGTACGGAATAAAAAAAATTATATATTATTTTGTTTTTGTAACGAAAAAACGGATTTAAAATGTTTAAAAATAAAAAAACCGCGCGAGCTCTCGCAAATATTATGATTGACACGCACTGCCGCACACTGACCCGGTGAACATGTGTATATATTATGCGGTACGCTTACTGTGCACTGAGCGAGCGGACCGGAGGACGGCAATGTCAGACGAACTGACATGACACGGTGCGGTTGGGCATAGTGTACAAATGCACATACGGGCGGCAGCGGCCCCTTCCCCTCAGCCGCCGCGTTAATGGGCAACCGTCCCACCTTCGGGGCAACCGGTTCGCCGCTATCAATCTAAATGAAAAACTATCCGGCCCATGGTATAGGTCAATGGATTTACTATAGCACAATTACGCAAACAAATCTATTTTCCAGTTTCCGAGACAATTATAATAGTTAATATCAAAATATCGTTGTGACGAAACAAATAATAATAGTAGTAATAATAATAATAATAATAATAATAACAATAAAAATAACACGTTAATATTTGTTATTAGTACGTACAACTACGTTATTATAGTCCACAAACTTTTGCCTACTCTATAACAAAACGACGTCCCAGTTCCAAGCTAGAACAGGACAGAAAATGACTAATACTTTTGGTTATTCATTCGATTTTTCAAAAATCGAATTACCCCTATAGCACAGTTTTGTAACGATTATTAAGTGATTTTAAAATCGTTGTTCGCAAATAAACGTTCAACAACTTCAACAATTTAGCAAAAAAACGTTTACTTGAAAAAATTAAGCAATGTAAATATATACATGAACGAGAATACTACATATATAGCATATACAAAATTCTATACTCCTTAGTCCTTACATAGGACACAAATTAAGACAAAACAAAAAAATTAAATTTCGTTGCAAATATGTCAATGGTTGGTTTAGAGCCTAACTACAATCATTCAAAGATGAAAAGTTGTTGCAAGAAAGTTGTTGAAAAATATGATTAATTAGATACAAAAAAATGTTAGTTTATTGGAAAATATTAATCAACAATAAATTTTGGATTGTTGTTTATTCAAGAATACTCATTTTAAAAAACCCTAATCTTGTTTTTGCTTTAGAAAATTATTTTAAATAGATAACGACAATAATTGTTTATACATTTTTAAGTAGTAGCAATTTTGAACTTGGGCATAAGGTATTATTCGTATGTATGCCACTCCATCGTTTCGTGTTGTACTCGTGCAATGCATATTTCCAAGTACCCGTCTGTACAGATGATAATAAACAGATCCGCGTTTGACGATATTGTAATAATAGATAAAATATATTGCAATTACAATTTCGTTTTCCAACATGTCGTGATAGTATTGCTGAAACACAATAGCAAAATGCCCATGTGTTATACACATACAATACTGTACTAATATATATATATAACAATATAAATTATAATACAAGTTGTATTATACCTATCGGCCATCAATATAATGCCTACTATTTTATTTTATTGTTAATACATATAGTCCATAGATTTGCGTTAACCTATTAGGATTACACATAGAAGAGTACTTTTTTTTTGGATTTAATTAGTGGATTACTTACTTACTCATAAATAAAATTATTATAATAAGAAGTAATTCATCAAGTAAAGGGTTCATGGCGTCCTTGTTATAATAAAGATGCCAATACTGTTTATGTATTTCATGAGATCCTACGAGGGTTTCTTCTATCGTGTACACTATAGCTTCTTGCTACTTGTACTCTGGGACTCTTGTTATCAATCATAGAATACCTTCATTTACTCAACTGGTACTGTTTACAGTTGTATTTGACTTTTTGGGTTATTGTTACTATGTAGTGTCTAAAATAAGTTTCTCAGCTCAGTTATACTATAACCTAGGTATTTATTATTCATGAATTCTTCAATTTACTAAAGTAAAAAAAATCATTTTATATAACAAAAACAATGATATGCTACTAATATCTAGACTGCCAAATATTCAAGTACACTTGTATTAAAACGTCACATAATTTTTCACTAAAAAAAAAGGTAATTTTATCTGTACTTTATTTTTTAACATAAACTCGAAAACCTTTTATAGATTTCGATTATTGTTCACATAGAAACATGAATATAAAATCAGAAATTATTCGATATCCCAATTCTTGCTTATAATTTCAATCCAGTTCTGTATATTTTTAACGTTACTCATTAATAGAATATTATCAGCTAGCATGGTTATTAGTTTACCAATAACGGTCGTTATAGTCATGAAAAGACGTAGTACATATTATGTTTTTATCTAAAACGTTTTCACTTCAGAATCAGCTGACTTTGACAAAAAAAGTAGAAATTATCTAAAACGTTTTCACTTCAGAATCAGCTGACTTTGACAAAAAAAGTAGAAAGTACCTATAATTATTTTAAAAGTCTAACGACTTTAATCCATTAGCGGATGAAAAGATTCAAAAGTTTTCTCGAATGTTAGTGTTTTATGTTTAATTGTAGAGTAAGTTAAATGATAAGTAAATGGATACAGTATCGAACGTGCCAAACATGTAGTAAACAGATGTATTAGCTAAATTGATTTCGTTACTAACGAAGGATTAACTATATTTTCAAGTTAATATTTTAAAAGTTTGTACATTAATTATTAATTTATATTAAACAATTTATTGGTGAATTAAAGTATTGCCAACTCAGGGTCAACAAATGTTTTAAAATTAATACCATTCATAAAAACTTTACTAAAAACTAAGTGGTTATTACTCATAGTTCGGAAGTTAAATATAAGGCAAACTAAGTACTAAGTAGCAAAATCAAATCGTTATTAATTAGTCTCGATTATAATCAATAAGGTAGTTTTATGTACGAGGCACGTCCAGAAAGTAAAGATACAAGCCCCCCAAGACTTGATCGACATATATCACGAGAAAAATCCCTGTGACCAAAGTTTTCAACGTACTGAAATCATTTTGGTCTTATTTCGAAGGGGAGAAGTTAAGCTACACGACAATGTAGCCGACATAGCGAACAAATATTTCTTACGGCCGTGGGGGGGCTTGTATCTTTACTTTCTGGGCGTGCCTCGTATATAGACATAAACTGATCAATGTTATATTAAGACTTCAAACAAGTTTCTAAAAAAATAAATTAATAACAGTTTTAAATGTGCCAACAAAAAAATACAAAACAATACTTTACTACACTCAAACTTTTATAGTTAACAGTTTTAAGATAACTTAAGTTCAATATTTGTTCAATGTATCAACATTCAGTCTTCATGCTTTTTGGGTCAATCAGTTATACTAACTACTATACTGTAGAGTATACATTTCCTCTATCAGTGTTTACATGATACATGGTGATAAAATAACAACAACACTTAACAGTGATAAAACAAAATATGTGGTGTTCGGAATTAGACATTGATCCAATTAATTGTTTTCTTTAAACACAATTTATGTTTGAATGTTTATCACTCGCTTACTTGATGATTTTTATTTTTATCATTTTAATAGGTACTTACATTTGTTTATTGTTTAGTTAAATCAAATTAAAAATATATTTCTAACGGAAAATTGCCGTCTCGTAGATAAATAATAATTATATTTAACAAAAACATTATAGTAACATAATTATTTTACCTTTGGTTGTTTATTTCCTAAATTACCTATCCATGATCTATATTATAATACTAAAGCTATACATCCTAAAACTACGTTTTATGGATTTGTTTAAATACTAAATTATACAAACAATAATATAAATTATAAAATATATTAACTATTAAATAATTTTCCATTGTTGTTTGGCATATTGTATTAAATACAATTGTACTATTAATAGCCATAATCAATATCGTAAATTAGTGGTAATATTTATATCTGTTTTAGTTTTTACAATGTTTTTATAACAATAAATTTTGTTTTTTAATTCTACATATTTACTAAAACAATTAGTTATTCAATTCCGAGAATAAATTATTATTATTATTGTTATTCATAATAAGGTAAGTATAAATGTTTTTATGTTTTTTAGTGACAGCGAACTGTGATTATTTAACCTTGACACAAAAAAAAAATCGAAGTACAAAACGATAAAACGTATTAATGTGTACTAATTATTTAAAAAAAAAAAATCAAAGCGATTAGTAAAATAATAATTGTTACTTCAAATAAAAAAGTGGTATTTTAATACTATTATCTTCTCTTAGGACTTAGGTCAAACAAAAAATATGATTTACCTTCCGATCATTGTGATTTGTCAAGGCTGCGATTGAAAATGTATCATACACATGAGTGTATAGCGTGTGCGGTGTGTATAAATGCAATTTTCCTAATGAAGGACTGACGGTAACCTAGTGCAACAGACCATTTGTCAGTGTGCTTAACACGTCGACAATAATGTCATGGAATACAAAAACGCCACAAGGCACTTTTATACAACGTATCTGCTAAGTTGAGTTAGACGTTTGGCCAACAAAACAAATTTTAAACGGTGTATTTAGAGTTTCAACTCTTAATTATTGATCTTGGGAAGGGGCGGTCATAAAGAAAGAAAACTGTGGGAGCCTTCGCGATCCATACCGTACGCAATGTTACAAGTAGATATTTAATAAATTTGGGTATCACTCGCCGGTATTGTATTGTATTGTATAGCTCTCAAAATGCGATGTTTAAATATTTTTCATCTTTTATGAACTAAAAGACACTTTCTTTGCCTTATTAACATAAAGACATGTTTTATGAGGCTAACTATAGACATTATTTTTTGAAATATACATTTTAGAATGATGGATAGGGGGTAGAACCCTTGATTAATTTTTAGTCAATAGAGACTCAATTTGTTCTCACAAAATTAACACCAAATACGCCGTGTATGACACTCATTAATTAATATTAATTCACATCCTCAAACATTAAAATAAAAAAAAAATTTTTAAAAAAGGGTTTTTGATAGGTCACCAATATATGTTGCATAATTTCCCTTATTATTTTCGTTATTTACTATCACTCTGGTTTTTTGACATTTGGGGTTCAGAAAATGCATCCACAACTGGTGACTGCGTGATGCGCATTTTGTGCTGAGCCCTTTTTTTAAAAAGGTAAGCTGTAACGGGTAATGGTAAACGATATTACAATTGTAATGGTATCGCATTATGATCACCGAATTTTGTAGCCTCA